TACAGGGTCGCTATGGGTCGGAACCGACTCAATGGCACATAACAACAACAACAACAACAAGGGTTAAACAGTTCTTAAAGTCTTCTCTGCTGTGGCTGGCTCGTTGGTGCTCTTGCCAGGGAGTTCCTTGAAGTTTAATGGACTATTCTGAGGTCAGCTTCTCTGTAAGGGGCTAGGCTTTGAAGTTGCTTCTGTTGGCACTGGATTCTCTCATCCAAGGGCATTGGGGGTGGGAAGGTTATGGGCTCTTGAGAGATGGTTGTACAACAAGCTTGTTGAAGCTTGTCTGGATAGAGGTGGAAGGCAAGAGATGTGGTAGGTCCTCTTCTGCCTTCCTTTATTTCTCAACCCTAAAAAGATTGAATGATGTGATCTATCTCACCTTCTTGGGGTCCACCTGCCTCTACTTGTCCTGGGTGGGATTATGTTGTTGTTGTTAGGTGCTTTTGAGTCAGTTCCAACTCATAGAGACCTTATGCACACGAGAACGAAACACTGCCCAGTTCTGTACAATTCTCACCATCATGATTACACTGGAGTCCATTGCTAATGCCACTGTGCCAATCCATCTTACTGGGGGTCAACCCTCCACTTTACCAAACATGATATCCTCCTCCAGTGACTGGTCCTTCCTAATAACATGTTCGAAGTATGAGAGATGAAGTCTCGCCATCCTGATGTCCAAGGAGCACTCTGGCTGCACTTGTTCCAACACAGATCTGGTTGCTCTTCTGGCAGTCCATGGTACTTTCAATATTCTCCTCCAACACCATAACTTAAAGGCATCTGTTCCTCTACAGTCTTCCTTATTCACTCTCCAGCTTTCACATAAATATGAGGCTACTGAAAATACCAGGGCTTACGTCAGGCATACCTTAATCCTCCACCAGACATCTTTGCTCCTGAACACTTTAAAGAGGTCTTGTGCAGCAGGTTTGCTTAATGCAGTGCATTGTTTGAGTTCTTGACTGCTGCTCCCATGAGTGGTGATAGTGCTCACAGAGTGGGAGAAAGTTTTTGGTTGGGTCTGGAAGATCTTATGACAAGTTATCCTCTGCA